AGCCTCACAAATGGTTGGGCGTGGGCATGGTGGAGGGAGGGGGCAGAGTTAGTGTGATGCACGCTGAACCTCTCAGCTGGTATGACCCATAGGGTAGTGGGTTCGGGACTGAGCCTGAGTCAAAACCCCAGGTTTTAGTAAGACTCTGCATTTTGCAGATGTAGGCTTCAGCTTCCTTTTCTGTAAACAAGGAGGTTCAACCAGATAAGCCATTCTCCATGTGTGGTCCCCAGACAGGCAGCATCAGCATCAGCTAAGAAGTTTCTAAAATGCAGATTCTCAGGCCTCACCTCAGACCTACTGAATCAGAAACTATGGGGTGGAGACCAGTCATGTGTACTTAACGTGTTCTCCGTGTCATCTGGATACATGATAGAATGTAAGACCCAGTGGTAGAAAGGCTCAAGGGTAAGGCTACAAATTCAAATGCACACGGGTGGGAAGATAAAGTAAGGGAGCATACTGGGTACAGCATACCAGAAAACAGCAGGGATTGCAGGTGGTGAAAGGCTCATGCCCCGGTAATGGAACTGGCAGTCACTTAGCTCCTGTGAACTCCTGCCAAGGATGACCCACGTGGGATCTGGTATTGCTGGAGCTTCTGATTTGTCACACACACACACACACACACACACACACACACTGATTTTATCTGAAATTTATGTGTTGATTTAAGTTTTCTTAATGTAGTGAGGACTGAGCAGATTACACTTGAGAGCAAAACTCAGCGGTGAGCTGCCGTTTTGGAATCTTTCATCTGAGTTGCCTTCAAGGTCTAATGTGAGAGTGAGTTTGCAGAATCTCACCTCCCAATCTCCTTTCCCCACTTGGTAGACTCCTACTCATCCTTCAATGCCCAACTCTAGGGCTACTTCCTGTCTGCCCCATTTTCCAGAAAACTCAAACACAAAGCCAAATAATTGACACATGGAAGGAGGTGACAGAAAAATTACAAAGTGGACTTTTGCCATGAAGAAGGAATTAGGACCTCTTGGGAAAGCTACCCTCTTGTGGTTTGAAAAATCATTTGACCAGAAGAGGACTTTCTATTGATCACAGTTGTTCCCAGGAGGAATGAGCTACCCTGAGCAGTAATGAGCACTCTTTGTTAAGGGAAAACTAGTAAAAGATGACAAAAAGACTAAGAGAGAGAGCCCAGTGGACAGCTATTGCTGTACTTCTCCCTTCCTCTTGTAAGGATATCTATTTTTTCTTGAGGAACCACCTCTCACTCATTCTTAGGCCAGTGGGAACAGTGTGGTTGGATGTACATCTGGCTCCAAGGGTGGCATCTTTCCTGGACCTGTTCAGTCAGGTCACAGCATCTCCCTGGCCACAGTTGCAGCTTCAGGAGTGCTCATGTGACCTGTGCTCGGCTAATCAGAGCCCAGGGACCCCTATGCTAGGAAAAGGGACTCAAAGCAGGAAGGATGTAGATTGAAGTTTCTAAGGAGGGGCATCTGGTCATCCAGAGGGATAGACAAACTAGAAAACAGCCCTTTCCCAATGCTTACCCTCAAATCAGCAACAATAACAACCACAAAACAGGGGAGGGAACAGGAAATTGGAGTTTTTTGGTGACATCCTCTATGTTCACAAAGTCCCTCCAAGCCTGAAAACAAGCTCATCTTGAAGGAGCTGGAAAATTCCATTTCTCCCATAAAGCAGGATTTCTGTTGTATTCTGTTGTATGTCTGTTGTTCCTAATTCCAGAGGGCCTCTAAGATCTCCTTTTCTCCATATCACTGTGGCTAGTGCCCATCTCCTACTCAAGGTGGGCTACCTACATGGGTTTCTGGAATTTGAAGTGCTGCCTCCATTTCTAAGTGCAACCCCTACGTGAAAGGTAGTGAAGAATCATGCAAAGGGCAGTTATTAAGTCAGACAGCATCCCACATCAGTGAGATGCTGGCAGGCAGGACAATTACCTCGGGCCCAAGCCAGGATAGCGGCAGGAAACAGAGCAGGCCCAGAAGTCTGCAGCCTCGCTGCTACCAGAGCCAGACTTGGCATAGTGGTCAGAGACAGCCTCCTCAGGTCCCAGGACCCCACCTCAGACAAGGAAAGAGCTTCTGGTTTTAGGGATCACTAGTGAGCTTCCATTTAGTGAGCACTCGGTAGGATACCATGCCTGCACTGAACACCTGACCTACCTCTGCTTGTCAAAGCAGCCCCCGACATGGGCATCGCACTGTCTGTTTCCCAGATGACAAAACTGAAACTCACCAGGATGGTTAGTTATAGGCAGGCCCTGAGACAACAAAAGTGCAGCCACACTGATGAGAAGGGACCAAAGCCACTATGTCTGATCTCTCTTTATAGCTTCTTAAGAATTTCCCTCCTCTACTCTCAAGTGGGATGACTGAGGACCCCCTCCCCGCAATCTACCAGACTCCAGCCTCAAAACGGCTGAGAAGCTGCAGAGACATGCCATACATAAGGAGTTCAGGTCTCAGCTCCAAGATTATATATAGCTGACGTGACACAAAGGGGCCACACCACACTAAACCAGCCAGCCCACAGGGGCTGGGTCATTTCCTTTGTTCTATAGGACAGGCCTGGTAACAAGGCAGCCAGGAGCTCAGCTGTAGATATTTTTTCATTATTTTCCACCCTGTTAACCTCCATCACAAGTCAGGCTGCTGTCAGCCTAAATGAGAACTGAAAAGATTTATCTCACTTGTCCCAGGGCTCAGCTCAGGAAAAAGCCCCTTCATTTCCTAGAGGCCCTGATGACCCTTTCTCTGTGCGTCACTCCCACCCAGGAAAAAAAGTGGTGACAGCAGCAGCCAGTGGGAGCCAGAACAGGACAGGGAGTGCAAACTGGCAGGCGTGTGAAGTGCTTCAGCTGGACTTTGCAAATCATTGTGTGATTTTTTGCACTGTATTTACCTCCTTAATTATGTTTGCTTATGCAAATATTAAACTTAGACCACATTTCATAAACAGCTCTGGAGGAGAACACAGTGAAGGCAATTAGCCTGTAACTGAAATTTTGCCATAGAACTAATTCTCCAAGTGGACAATGTAAACACAGACCATAGAGAGATGATTATATTTTAAGGCAGCTGTCCCCCTTCTCTGTGTGTCTAGCAATCCCAGATCACCAGATCCTTAAACCTGGCACCTGGCTAGAGAAGATGAGTTAATTGCCTTAGTAATAATCTTCCTATGTGGTTGTATGGTCACAGCCAGCTCTCACTGAACACTGTCCACACAGAACAACAACTCTGCCCACCCTCCCAACTACCCTGCAGTATTTCCACTCCACTTCACAAATGACGAAAAGAGGAGTTTAAGCAACAAGCCCAAAGATACACAACTAATAAAAGAGCTAAGTGTGGTGTCTCACATTTGTAGTTCCAACTACTCAGGAGATAGAGACTGGGAAGATGGTTTAAGGCCAACCTGAGCAAAAAGTCAGCAAGACAATCCTCCCCCATTTCAACTAATAAAAAGATGGATGTAGTAGCACATTCCTATGATTCTAGATATGTGGTAAATGTAAATAGGAGGATTGCAATCCAAGTTGGCCTAAGCATAAACACAAGAAGTAACTAAAGCAAAAGGGGCCAGGGGTATGGCACATGTGGTAGACAGAGCACCTACTTAACAAGCAGGGAGGCCCCGAGTTCAAACCCTAGTGCTGCCACAAGTAGGTAGGTAGATAGATAGATAGATAGATAGATATAGATAGATAGATAGATGGATGGATGGATGGATGGATAGATAGACAGTGACAGACAGACAGATAGACCAGAATTATGAATCTAAGAATTTAGAACATTGGACCCAGACGCTATACCCTACCATAATGCTTATCTCCCTCAGCATGGTTTGTTTAACTCTGGGAAGCATTAACCTAAACCCTACTAGATAGAGAAGGTGTGTATGGAGCTAAATCACGAGCTTATTTTACAGATGAGGACACTGTCATTCATAAATATGAGTTCAGTCTATACATTTGCACAGCACCTCCAGCCTGCCAGACATCGTGTAAGGAGCTCAGGATACAGAGACCTCAAGGGGCCTAAAAAGTGACAGCCCATTCCTTTTGCCTCTTAGACATTGTAGCTTTCCAGAGGAAATAGAATACACCACCTAAAGCAATGAAATCAAACCAATGTTTCACCCTAAAATTCTATTGCAGAAAATCAACCCTAAGAAAGCAAAACTGTGAAAGCAAAAGAAGCTAACAGCAGCATTATTTAAATGATAGAAATCACCTAAATGTTCAACAATCAAAGATTAGGCACACAAGCTAGGGTACATCAATATAATGAAATGCTATGCAATCATTCGAAATGCTATAGAAATGTATTTTTGATGTGGGAAAATTGTGTAAGAGAACATTTTACAATTTGCTAGGTAACAAGCAGGGAGTAACACCATACATGCAAGACTGTTCTCATTTGGGGAAAAAATGTATCTGCATGCTAGAAAATGTATCAATCATAAGCACTCATAGGAAGCACAGCTGCATTTGTGCATCAAAGAAATTTCCTAGAACATCAGACTGCCTGAGTGATACCATTTCTGGGGGTCTTAATTTATATATATGCACTCATCTCCATTTTTTCAGACTTCTTTTTTAAATACAATTTTATTGTTATTAGTAAGGTGATGTACAGAGGGGTTACCATTTCATGAGTCAAGTAATGAGTACATTTCTTTTTGAACAATGTCACCCCTTCCTTTACTTTCCCTCAGTTTTCCCTTTACCAGACTTCTTACAGCGTACCTTCACTACCTACCTACCCAGGTAAAGGTCTTTAGTCTTGTGGTGGTCATTGCTAAAGTGGCTGAGATCATGCCCTGGAAGGCACATCTGAGGGTCAAACTCAGGGCTGGAGTACCAAGTATGACCCACAGTCCCTGTCCTTCAACACCTGCCCTTCCAGTCCCTTGCCCCCCACCGCCTCCCACCCTCATGGCACAGTGTTACCGTGGCCGGTCTGGGGCAAAAGACCTGAGACAGACAGAGAAGCCCACTTGCCTACCTTCTTGAAGAGCCTGATGACATCTTCGCTGATCTGGGAGAGGCGGACGATGACGTTGTTCATAAAGATGTCATTGAGGGTGGCATGGTCTCGGCTCTCCCGCCGGGTCTGATGCAGAACCAGATACCAACAGTTCACAGGGGAGAGGAGGTATTGGTCCTTTCTGGGGGAACCAAGGCAGCTCAGGTTGGTTCACTGGAACTGTCATGTCAGATAATCACTGACCTCATGGAGCCCCCGAGGGTTGGTTTTTATATAGCTGGGGAAGCAGGCTAGGGAGAGCTGAAGTGATTTCTCCACAGTCAAATGGCTGGAGCCAGAACCCACTGCCCAGGCCTCTGACACTAATCCTGTTGCATCTACTCTCTCGTAACGTGGTACTTACTGGATGTACTTTCACCTTGTGAAAAGCAGCTGCCTCCCCAGGGGCTAAGAAGTAGTAAATGGACTGTATCTAAAATACGTGCATGAGTTCTAGAACTGTGGGACAAAGAGCAGAAGGAGGATATGTCTCCCCTCATCTGCCACTTCCAGCCTCTGGGATTCATTCAAGCTCTTTTAACCCCTTTGCCCTTCCGTCGTCCTTCTGTGGAATTTTGAGAGGCACGGGCCTTGCGGGTTTTGCCTTTGCATTTGGGAGGAAGGGTTACGGAAAATACATGTTAAGTATATTCAAGACAATTTGTGTCCTCCCGTGGTTGAGAGATCCCTAGGCATCTCTGGCTGGGCATTATGCTACCCAGGGCATCCCACAGGATTTTCCCAACTAGCAGCACCCGCATACCCAGGGAACTTGTCAGAAATGCAGATTCTGCAGATCCACTCCAGACCTGCTGAGCCAGAAACACTGGGATCAGCCCAGGAAATCTGGGTTTTAAGAAGCTTTTCAGGGGATTCTGATGCACACTCAAGTCTGAGTGCTTTCCAAACTAGTGAAACACAACTGTCTCCCATACCTTATACCAAGACCACTCTATGAGCCTTAGGAAGGAAAGGAGAAGAACAACTGAAAGTCAAAATCCAGAGTAGGGCATGATAGCACATGGCTATAATTCTAGTACTTGGGAGGCTAAGGAAGGAGGATCCCTGGGAAACAAGCTAGTTCTACCTGAGTTACACAGCAAGTCACTTACTAAAAAAAGAAAACAAAAACAAAAACAACAAAAACCAATGATCCTATCTTGCCCCATGGAGTATCTGTGCTAAGCACTCCTGTTCTCTGACCCTTACTCCTGTTCTTACTTTGCTTCCCAGTGTGGGCACGTGTGTGTGTGTGTGTGTGTGTGTGTGTGTGTGTGTGTGTGTGTATGTGTGTACACATACATACTGGGTCCAACAGAAGGTGCACAAGCCCCTGAGCTGTGACATTCCACTTCAGTAAGGGAGCTAGGATCCACAGGAAACAGAATGATGGATTCCACTTCAGTAAGGGAGCTAGGATCCACAGGAAACAGAATGATGGGCAGGGTCCTAATAGGAAGGAGCTGTGGGGCAGAGGCTTCCTGGAAGAAGCACTTTCTAGACTGAGAACCAAAGGTGGGGCTGGAGTATCCATGGGAAAATCTTTCCAGGTGGAAAAGTGTGATGACCAAATGTCTGCCAAGAACCAGGAGGGGGCAGGTGGGTGACTGAGACATAGTTGGGGAGGGGGGGGCTCTTGCATGGTGTTCTAAAGTGGGATTGAGAATGGCTAAAGCGGGAGAGAAATAGGCAGAAACCATACAGCAAAGGGGCTTTAGGAGTGTGACCTTCAAGGTCAACCAGGAGCCACTGCAAGGTTTAGAACAGGGAAGTAAAAGGGTAGAATTGCACTTACTTTTTTTTCTGTCAGAGACTGGGATGATGCTTTATGCTCATTGGCAGGTACCCTACCACTTGAGCCACACCTCCAACCTCTGAAACTGCACTTTCAGACCCCCCCTCCCCCACACATGGCTACACACAGGACAGCAGGCAACATCTAAGAGCTAAGAGAAAAGCTAAGGAGTTCAATACTGGGATAGTAAAGTGATTAAACCTGGTAGGAGTGGGAGTTGAAGAGAGGAAAAGAGGTTCAGAATGACTCCCCAGTTTTCTGGTTGGGACACTTGGGTGTATAGAGGAAGCCTTTGTTGTGAGTGAAGAGCAGAGCCAGGAGGTCAGGGATAAGAGAGAGTATGTTCACTTCAAAGGGCTCTGGAGGCCTCCGGGCTAGGGTTAAGACTAGAAGCTGACAGCACTACTGGGATGACATCTGAAACCACAGAATAACACAGACTGAACCACTTCACAGACACACATGACAACCTGGAAGGGGAAGCAAACCTCCAGGAAGCTTGGCAAGGCTGCCACTAGAGGGAGGTGGCTGGGATAGTCCTTTCCTGGTGACTGGAAAGAGGGCCAGGAGGGACCTGGAATGCTGTTCCACACCTGCCACCCAGCTCTCCAGCTCTGCCCTCCCTCTTCCCCTCCTGTATGTGTGAGGTAGGCAGCTCAGCTGTAGACTAAAAGATCGAGGTGAACTGTCCACTGGGTCAGGGCCAGAACTGACCTCTGTGTAGAAAGCTGGCACCTGCAGCCTCACAGTGGTGCCAGGCCTTTTGCCTCCTTGGGCCACAAATGGGAGCCAACATGGTAAAACTGAGTCACCTGGACTTGGGGGTAGGTGCTCCCCTCTGTTAGCAACCCTGCCTGAGTGCTCTTATGCAGATCACCCATCCCATAAGAACTAGCTAACCACAGTGTCAAACACCAGGTTGGGGAGGTGGCAAACCTCTGCAGTCATTCTTCAGCCCCATGATCCATCTGTGTTAAGCACTTTGTAAGGCTGGGCCATAGGATACAATGTAGTTCCTGCCTCCAGGGAGCAGACAGGATGTGGGGAAGACAGCATCCCTACATACATCCCACAGATGTATGTATTTAGACTGGCAGAAAGTACCACAGAGGAAGGGAGCATGACAGCCCAGAACAAAGGGAACTGGGTGAGCTTGGGGGCAGGGTCATTGAAGCATCCTTGAGAAAGGGCTAGGAAACTGACCAGAAAGACAAGTTGGAGGGTGCCAGAGAAAGAGTTTGGAAGGGTATGCTGGAGTAGAGCAGAGGGACTGAATCAAGGCCAGTGTGATCAAAGGAGGTTAGGTGGGCGGGGACAGAAGATGCTACATGATAGGGCTAGTAGGTCTTCAAGGCCTATTTCTGATAGATATATAGAGCACCACTGGTGTGTCATCTGAATTATCCTGGGAGTACAAGAAGTGGCTCCACATCTCATGTGGCTGCAGACACCTGAAGCATCAGCCCTTTCTTTCCAGGGGGTCACTTGTCCCTTTTGCAAATAGCCAGAGATCCTAGCAGCTCTCTCTGCCAGCAGCTATCTTTGCTGTTGCAGACTCCCTCTTAGAAGATGCTGTGGTGAACCCAGGCCAATGCACTCTCATTAAAGGCACGGTCTGAGCAACCTTTCTGCTCTTCCCATCTTGCAGCCCAGCCTTTTCTCTGCAGGCAGAGAGCTGCTGAGCTAGGACATAATGTTGGAACTTTTGCATATGTATATATTTTCCTTTTTTATGGCCAGAAAGTAGCAATGAACATTTCTGGTGAGTCACAGCTTTCTTTCTTTCTTTCTTTCTTTGGCTAAGGGAAGTGGGTATGAGGTTCCAAGAGACTGAGGCTGGAGAAATGAAGCCTTGCCAAGCTGGTGAGCTAGGAAAATGAAATTAGCAGTGAGGCAGCTTCTCCAACTTCTCAGCTGGGGGCTGGAAAATTCCGCTTAGCAAACAGAATCCAGTTCCAAGCTTTCAGAGCCCCATATTGCAGATGAGCCAGAATCTACTGCCCCAAGACCCTGGTTCTTCTGAGAGGAAGGCAAGTTTTTGCAGCTGACACTTTCCCCAAAAGCCAGGTCCCTAGTCTCCAGCCTACTAAAACAGAACTCCCTGCCCCATTAGGTATCACCTGGGCTATCATCTCCTTCCATGTAAGCCTTGGTGCTTTATGGATCCACCTACAAAGTGAGGCACAGGAAAGGAATCCTCACCTTAAGCTAGTCTGGTCCCTTCTTTCATCTGGGCTCGCTCTGCCTGGCCTTCAGCTCCCTTGCCTACCAGGTGGGGACAGGGACTCCTTTCCTGACTCTCTCTACCCCACTGGGACCCCTGGGGAGGGCTAAAGCAGCTGAGGGCTGGTAAAGGAAGAAGCAAAGTGTAAGCTTTGCCTAGTTAAAATCCAGAGATAACTAAATCCCTACATACTACTTCAGAAAGATCTCCTTTCTTGCCACATCTACTTTCCATTTTTAGTATAAAATTTAAATGATGTCCATGTATGTATATATATCAAGCACAGACATAAATAAACAAGCTGCATCCTGATCGACACTTTGGAGTGTGCCGAAAATAGTCTCTGAAGACTCCAGGGAACCTGTGTGAAATTGGGAAAGCCAGATGGAGAGACTGAGAGGAAGAAAAAGGGGCAGCAGTCATCGCAAAGAGCATACTCTAAACTGAATCTTAAAACCTCTGCGGGAGATGAAGAAAGGAAGGTGGAAGAGAAAGCTGCCCACTTCACAGGAGGACCCCAGGAGGGGCCCCACGGGGAGCTTACCCCAGCTTCAACATCGCTGCCTTGCTGCACACCATGCTCAACAGCTCCTGGTTGATTGTTGCTTTTTACATACACATGTGCAGAGGACTTTCTCTGCTCTCACTTTTGCTTTTTAAAGCTTTCCCTGCTATAAATTGCAGACTACTGAAAAAGTAAAATCAAAGCTAACAAAACAGCATTATTCAGTCCTAAGGAGGTGCTGAGCCTAAGGTCTGCTCTCTACTTCTCAAAAGGAGACCAGAGAGCCATTAACAGCACACACAACTAACTGAGGTTTTTGTACTCAAGGCCACTGAAAAGACTTGAGAAGTGAAAAGGAATTCAGCATTTTGGTTTCATGGGTCATTCCTCCATATTTTGAGGAATGTAGATTGGATTGAACCATCCATGATGTTACAAAAATGGCCACCTAAGATACCCATGGATAGGAGTTCATTGTCCCCCTAGGAGGCCCTTTCATGGCTGGATAGCTCTGGCTACTAGAATTAAGGTTGACTTGAAATCTGCCTCCAGGAAAATGCTATCCTTGTTTGGCTTCTCTCCTGCAGCCCCAAATAAGTCTTTTTCCCTCCTGTATATAAAGAAAATCCTCATTAGTACCTTCATCCTTGTAGTCATTCATTCACAAAACTTTATAGAGTATAAAGTGTGTGTGTGTGTGTGCATGAACATGTGTGTATGTGTATGTGTGTCTGACCCAGGCCCCAGGAGAAACGCACACATAACCAGTTGAGTCAGAGAAGCCGCTGCCTACAAGTCTGGGATCCCTTTGGGGAGCTTGGCCGAGGCAGTGCCCCTAAGCAGCCTCTGTGAGAAGAGCAGAGTTGGCCAGGCAGGGGGGTAGGTTCTCCTAATACCCACTCAAGGAAAAAATGGTCTGGTCAGATGATGTCTTAGCTACAGATGGGAGGAAACACAGATTTAGTATTTTTGACTCTTGGAGTCAGACTAATCAAGATTTCCTAGCTGTGTCACTTAAGGGCTATAGCTGTGTCCCTCTGGGCCAATTAAGATTCCTTACAATCTCCTGATTTTCAACTAGAAAGGTAAAAATAGTATCTGCCACCCAGATACAACACTTACCAAGAAAGCTCATGATATGGTGCCTGTGATTTTTCTGGGAGAGCACTGGGCCCTGGTAGTGTGGAGGTAAGAGATAGTTGAAAAAAATGAAACAATTTACTAGAGTGATTCTAGTCACAGAAATGGTAATAACTATCTGTGAAGACACAGACCTGCCCTGGGCTTTTCTCCATCTCCATCTCTACTGAGCAACCTGTTAATCCTGAATTTGTTGCACATAAGCCCAATTCAGACACTGCAAAAATGCTTCTCTGTTCAGGAATAACCTGGAAGGCTAGATCTAAATGCAAAGCGCTTTCTTTGAAGTGAAGTTAGTTATTCACTTGGATCCTCCCACCCAGCTGTCCTATGAAGCTGGAAGACAGTCCAAACCCCTCCTGTGCAATATATTTGCATAGAATATTACTTACTAGCCACTTGAGCACCTCCAAATTCTCTCTAAAAATCTGACTTTTCCCAAACAATTCTTCCATATTTCAGTGGAATTCCTTATTGCTTTTCTCACAATGGTCCTAAAACCAGCCAGGAACACACAACTCCTCTGGACAAAGCATTTTTAGTGGCATTTCCTTTGGGAGGTGATGGCTATCACAAATCAAGGGAATTGGAATAGAAAGGGGCTGTGGTTGTCACAAATATGGAGCAATATTTGCAGAATATGGATACTACAGAGGGAAATCAGTATTTGTCTACAACAAAGCTTTTTAAGTTCTGTCCCAAGGGGTGCTCATTTGTGAAATATAAATACATGTTATGAGGAGGGAGAATTCTGTGGCCAAATAACTTCCAGAAAGAAGTCAACCAGTTGCAAAAGTTTTCAGAGCCTGCCATATACCAATGTACTTTTGGAATCTTTAAATGGAGGTATAAGGGTAGGCCTATGTTCCCAACACAGGATTCTTTTTTCCTCTCTTTCCTTTATCCCTTACCTTTCTCCTCCTCCTTCTCATTCTCTTCCTCTTCTCTTCCCTCTTGCTTCCCTCTCTACTTTCAACCCCAAACACATCAAAGTGTTAGTGCTTTAAAAAACATTTCTTTCTTTCTTTCCTTTTGGTATCAAGGTTTTAATCCAGGGTTTCTCAGGGCCTGGCTCTTGCTTGGCTTTTTTGTTCAATCTGTGCTCTACCATTTAGCCATCTCTCCAGCCTGGCTTTTTGTTGGTACATGAGTCACAAATCATGATCCTCTGGATTTCAGCCTCTTGTGTGGTTAGGATTACAGACTTGAGCCATCAGTACTGAGCTGTAAAATAGTTCTCTAGAAAACCTAGAGGAAGAAAGGATTTAAGTTCTGAGAATCCTGTCTTCGTGGAACTAGCCAGCTTGTCCAGAACAGCCCACTCACCCACCCCAGCTTCAAGGCCCTGCATGCTATCCTCCACAGCACAGTCATGCTCTCAGAAGGCTCCCACTCCAGGCCTTCAAAAAGAAAAGCTAAGCCTTGCAGGCGAGCTGGAAAGAGCAGTGACTGGGTTCTGTGCTGGTCAAAGGAGGGAAGGTTAGTGCAGCCTGAGAGTGGGATGTGAGCTATTTTTCATCTAGAAAATCATCTTCCCGGGCAGTTGTCGACCACAAGGCGCAGGCAGGCTGTGTAAGGCAGACTGATGTTACAGCAGTTGAGGATAGGAGAATGGGATTTTGCATTCCAGACAAGCTCCCATATCACCAAGCTTTGCAAACTGGCCCTCCAGATTGTTGCTTTGTCTAGTCTTCCTTCTCCAAATAGCAAGGCTGCTGCCAAGGCCACTCTGCCCTCTCAGAAACCCAGAGCTGGGTGATGGGTACAGGAATGGGGGACATTTCACCTAGGTCCTAAGTCAGTCAAAGGATACAGTGTCCCCACAGCAACTCTAATTACCACTTGATTTTCATCCATACCTACCCCCCCCATGAGTTTTCTCAGCTGCATTCTCACTCTCTAACCTTTAAAAGTAAAAAATGCAAAGTATGAGGTTGGAGGGCACCTGTCAATGAGCATAAAGGGTCAGACAATGAGTTCTAGTCTGGGTCTTGGATGGGGAGAAACATGCAAGGCAGATAGGCATTGGTGGCTCACACTCGTCATCCTAGCTACCCAGGAGGCTGAGATCCAGAGGATCAGGGTTCAAGACTGCCCTGGGCAGAAATGTCCATGAAACTCCATCTCAATGATGGAGACAGGTGGTTGTCAGCCTGGCTCTTGTGGCAAGCCTAAAATAGGCGAATCAGTTGTCCAGCCCAGAAAGTCCCTGTCTTAAGTCCGCAAGATTGAGGGGGATGGCTAGAGGTAACTGAGCACCTTCTTAACAAGTACAAGGTCCTGAGTTCAAACTTCCATACCACAAAAAAAAAAGCAAAACAGAAAAGAAAAGGAATTCTGTATTGCTCTCCAAATGTTCAGCCTGCCCCGGAGGTCCTCCATCAGGGCCGTCATCGTCATCGTCATCGGGAACTTCCTTTGAATCACATGCCACACAGAACTGAGACCAGCTGAGTCTCAGCTTGAACACAGTACCTTCTGAAAGCTATGTATCTTCCCATTGTCCAGACAGGTAGAGAACACCTGGGGCCTGGGGGAAGCTATGGCCCCAGAGCAAAGGAGACACTTTGGGCCTATAGTGAAAGGATCTCAGTTCTGCCTCTAATTTGCTACAAAAACTCCCTCCTTTCCCTCCTTCCTTTTCCTCCTCCTTCTCTTCCTTCTTCCTCTTCCTTTCCTTCTCTCTCTTTTTCTTCCCTCCCTCCACCTCACAAACATCGTATCTGTGGCCAGAGCTGGGCCCACTGCAGTAAGAATTGAACAAGACCCAGGCCCTGCCCTCCAGCCCTTGAACTACTGGGAGGGCAGAAGCCACTCTTAAATGAAGAAAGCAGGCCATAGAGGCTAAAGGGCTCACAGCACAGCCCAGACCTCATGTACTGAACTCCAAGGGAGAGGCAGCCAGGGGTCAGTGAGCATCCTGGGGTCAAAGGTGAGTCCAGCCTGCCCTAAAGACTCTTGGCTTCCAAAAGCCATGGGGAGCCCCACCATCACTCAGAGTGCCCACCTCCAGCTGCATCCGCCTGGATAACACCCTAATTGGACTTTCATAGTGTGACAAGCAGCCTGCTTGGCCCGACTGCCAGCTGGGGCTCCTGTTCCATGTGGTGGCTCAGTTAATGAACCCACACGGAGCTGGCCAAGCTCATTACAGGCCAGGCAAGGGAACGGGTGGCCCTTGTGTCCCCCATCCTACCTTGCCCCTCTTCCTAGTGTGGAAAGTGATCTGGTTCCTTTCCCAGGAGGAAGGGGTAGAGAAGGAGATGAGACCCCAGCAGGGCCTGTCTCTGTAGCCAGAGCGCCACCACCGGGGAAGCCCACCATGGGGGAAGCCCAGAGTCAGGGGGTGTGGAAGGTCACAACAGGTAAGGGTCCACACACCATAATCGAGTAGATAAGGGCAGAAAGCCTCTGGGTACTGAGGAGGAAGCAAGAGACAGGAATGGTTCAAGTACCTGCTCAGTGGAGAAGGAATGTTAAGGTCATTGTGCTGAAGGAATTTGGACGGGAGCTGGCTGGCACCCAGATGAAAGCACAACTAGGTAGGGTCAGGATGTCCTTAAGGGAGAAGGGGTATCATGTAGGCATAAATAGAGACAGCTGTGCCAGGTGCTTGGTAGGCTAATAATAGTCACATAAATACTGGGCACTTAGTGTCTGGGACAAGAACTTTGCTTGGGGTTACTCCTTTCTCCCTTCCTCCTCTAGTTCTAATTATTTCCACCTGCACTTTATGCATGAGGACAATACAGGCCCAGAAGTACAAGGAGCCTTCGGAGCCAGGGCCTCACTGCATGCATGCCCTCTGCCTCACCAAGTCTGGCTTCCTTCGTACCTTGTCACCCATTGTCTGGCTGGCTGCCTGCCTGCCCACCCGCCCAGCAGCCTCCCACCTCCTGGACCCATGTCCAGCTTCTCACTTGAACTGGTGCTCTCGGGAGCTGCGGATCTTAGAGGAGAAACGCTCAGCCAGCTTCTCCAGGCTGCGGGAATATTCCAGTTCGATCTCAGCTTTCCTGCGGAAGAACTCCTGGAGGTCCTGAAGCAGCTGCAGCCGAGACTCGGACTGCTGCTCCAGGCATTTGAACTGCTCCACCAGCTGCGTGCGGATCTCTGCAGGAGGCAAGGAGGCCAAGGTTAGGCCACTGGTGGGGACAGCAGTGGGACCCACCCAACTGTCCCAGCAATGCCAGCCCAGACCCAGCAACCTAAGCAGCACCCCTCCACTCCCCCCACTACCACCCAGGGCTGGTCTGAGCTTGAACATTACTTGGCAGCCCACAGGCACAAAGATATGGTAGAGACCCCGTTTTTGCCACTCAGCCTAAGCCACTGCTCCAAACTGATTTCATACATGTCATGTCCATATTTCTGAAATATCCACATGTACAGTTTGGGGCTGGGTGGTGGTGGATGGATATGAAGTTCTTCCTAAGATGTAGTAGATTAGCTCATTTATTCTTACTGGAATGAACTTGCTGAGAAAGACTAGGTTTATGTCATGACCTTGCAGCCCAGGACACAGGAAATGAGTTCAACAAAAACAATAATTATGCAAAATCCTATCTGGACTATTGCTTGCCAAAGGCCCTCAACCTGAGTGGTTTGTTGTCTGTCAACAAAAGGGAAGTGGCATAGTGAGAGGTGCTAAAGGAAGACATTCTCCAGGACTGTCAGAACCAAGAGGGTTGCCAAGGGGATATGGCTCCCTCCGGGAGCCATTATTTGAGGCCAGGCCTGCATTCTGCTTTAAATCACCTTGAGCTCCATGTATAAACATTTGAAGAGCCACTAGAAGAATGGAGTCCACACTTCAGAAAATACTGAGTGATCAAACCAGGTCTGGGCAGCCAGCACAAAAACTGAGAAGCTGAGAGTCAAGAATTTAAAAATCACAGCTGAATCCTAATAAGCACAGCCAATCTCATCATCAAGCTCTCATAGTGTCACTGCTGCCATGCCCCCAGGTAGGGAGGGACTCCTCCTCAGCCATCCCCACAAGCTCTCAAAACATCCATCTGTCTCAAATACTCTGCTCATACTGGCAACCTGCTCAGAATCCAGGACCCCCCCCCCCCCCCCCCCCCCGTGGCCTGAGGATAAAGTCCAGATCCTCACCATGGATTTCAAAGTCATCACCACAGAGCCCCAAACATTATTGCTGAGGAGTTTCTCTCCACATCGTCTCCAAACCATTCAAACCAGTCTGTGGAACATCCATTTTACCTGGCCAAAAGGTGTTGTCTAAAAAGGTGGCCAGTATCCTTTTAACATCCTTTAGAGAGAGAGTCTGCAAATGAAGGTGCACAAAGACTTTCCTGAGGAGCCTGCAGTCCAGGGAGGAGAGAGGGAATCCACCTAGGATCCTCAGGGTCTACTCTTACTCTCTCTTAAAAACTGCTCTGAGGAAGTGGTGCTGTGGCTCAAGCGGTAGAGCGCTCACCTTGAGCTGAAGAGCTGAGGGACAGGGCCCAGGCCCAGAGTTCAAGCCCCACAACCGACAAAAAAATAAAAAATAAAAACTGCTCTGAGATCTCGCCTAGGTCTAGACAGAGCCACCCTTAGCTCACCTTTCCCATCTCCCTCTTCACAGAGGCCTTGTCTCTTTGCAGGAGCAAGACCAATATTTCCCTTATTTACAATCTGACTATAGTGTGGTGGTTAAAACATCTGGGTGTCCAAAAAAGAGAGAGACAATTTGAAGAGTGAACAAATGCACTCATGATATTTAGTCCACATTCCGTACAAAATGAACTATGCAACTTGTAGGCAGGGACAAGAGGGGGAAACTGGGGGAAAATGAAGGAAGGGGTGACATTGTCCAAAAGAGAAATGTGTATATTACTGGAAATATGAAATGGTAACCCCTCTGTACAACACCTTAATAATAACAATAAGAATTTTTTTTTAACAAAAAAAGGACAATTCAAAAAAGTCAGTATCAGCAAATCTTCCTTTTATCAAGGCATCATAAACCCCTTTTGTGTAAAGTGTGTATGCTTGAAATGCATAGACCTAATGTTTAATGGAAAGCAGCCAAAACAAATGAGGTCATAGGTCCACAAGCCAGCAGGATCACCATAACCATTACCACAGGACTTGAACACATGGACCTACTCAAGCCCATCAATATGTATACACTGACTATGTGCAATTGCCTGTCTATCAATGTCCAAATGTCAATAAAGGTAGGGAAAAAACAACAGACAAACAGGATCTGAAGCCCCAACCCAGACCTTTTGAATCAGAATCTGCATTTTAACCTGGCCCTGACTGCTCCATCATGCATTTCCTCCACAATGCTGCCTTTTGTATTTCACAGTTAATCAGATGTGTAAAATATTGATGTCATCCTGAGGAATTGTAGATTCATGATAACTAAAATTATAAACCAATCCAAAAGAAAGATCATTAGATTTGTATGGTCAAGGGTGAATTTGAAGTATCTATTCAATTTACATTTATGTTTTGGGAAGAAATAAAGAAGTAACATAACCAACAAGTCTCAAGCATAAAAATGGATCAAGAGAAAATTCCATGAACAAATTCAAGAAGATAAAGAAACAATGTAATATTTTTCACTCTTTTGGGGTAATTGTTGATGGATTACAGAGAATACCATCTATTACAGTATTTATCCTACAACCTGGCAATTCTACCAATGGAATTCTACCAAAAGAATCACATGCAACAGAACTAGCTTTCCAGCAAAATAGTAGAAACAACCTTAAGTATCCAGTGCCAGTAAAAGAGACTTTTTTAATGTGAGATAACCATTTAGTAGAATACTATATCACAAGAAAGAGGAGTGAGCTACTACTGCTATTTAAAGCAACATACTTGAAATGCATAGACCTAATGGAAAGCAGCCAAAACAAATGAGATCATGAAAAGATAGTTTATAAAGACAAAGATGAGAGTGGTAGTCACCTTTGACAGAGTATTAACTGAGAAGGGAAACAAAGTTGCCTTCTGGCATTCTGGAAATGTCCCATACCTCCATCTGGGTGGGTGGTTAAGTACCATTGATCAAAATTGAGTTGCACACTTAAGATCTGTACATTCTTTTACACTTTTGTGACACTTCAACAAGAAGAACAGATAAGAAATGGCTGTGTAACTGAGGTTCCATTTGATACATTTTTGAGAGTAGTATAATGTTATTCTAAAATGTCAATACTTAAAAGATGGCAGAAACATATTCTTTGTAGCTATATAAACCTAGACTGAAACCTTTTGGATATCAAGTTAAAATGCATTAGGAAAAGAGATTTTTTTCCCACTAAGTTCATCTGGAGGATAGAGAGCAAAGAGGTTGCAAGCTTTTTCTTTGGAGCCCTGGCAGAAGCTACTTCACCAGCAAGGCCTGGGCCACTGGCTAGCAACCCTCTTCTGAACTCTCTCAGGACCCACAGCTACCTCAGACTGCCCTGCCAGTCTGGAAGTGGTGGTTTTCACTCTTTCAGATATTTCATTTTCAGATGTGGCTACCTAGCTCCTCAAAGGAAAGCTCTGGGGTGGGGAGGGTGTGATAGGGAGAGGCTTGTGTCAGCACAAAATAGGATGCTTGAACATCAATATCTGTGCAGCACTCATTATAAACCCTTATCAAATGCCTTGCTCAAGTGTACTAAGTGAGAGATCCAGCTAGCCAGGCACCCCAGTGGATCATGCCTATAATACTAGCTACTCAGGAGGCTGAGACCCGAGGACAGGGCTTCAAAGCAGCTTGGACAGGAAAGTGAGTGGGACTCTTATCTCCAATGAACTACTCAGAAAAAAACTACTTAAAAAAATAGAACATATATATATATATTCAGGGACAGTGCCCAGGCCCCAGGACTGGAAAAACAGAGAAAGACAGAGACAGAGAAAGAAAGAGAGATCCACCTTACACACACTACCTCACAGAATATACAAAGTGCATACCACATACACCAGACACTACCCACACACTACCCACCACACATATCAGCCCCTTACACTCTTATGAATAGTATCATCTGGTTTGCAGATGAAGAAATAAAAGCTTTAAGTCAACCAAGATGTGGGACTTGCCCAAGGTCACATTCTGTTCTCTGACTAGAGCTACACAGATAACATGTAGTAGGTGGCCCACTGCCAGAATGCAATGGAAGTACCAGCATTCCCACAAGATCACACCCTGCCATACGAACACTGTTCAAATCCATGGTTACAAGAGTCTCCACATTTGCCAGCATTTCAAGAGTGCGTATCTGTTCCGGGTCCAGCACCATGCTCTGTAGATCCTTCTTCGAAGTAAGCTGTATAGTATTCCCAGCAACAGTATGCTGCTGCCCACCCTCTGTGAGAAAGAAGAAGCTCAAAGCAGAGCTAGGAAAGCCGCATCCCTTAGTGACAATATTGCTCTCGATGCTGTCATAGATCCTACAGACCTCCGTGGCCTGTGTTTTTCATCTGTATTCACCTCTTGCCCCCTTTGCCTAAGAAGATGGGGATCTAGGGAGATATTGCTTCTTTGAAATGCTCAGCCTCCTCTAATACAGGGCATCTTCAGGAGCCAGTTTTCTCATATCTTGAAGGAAATGCTCATAAATCACACTGTGATGACAGGAGACATTTTGGAAAGAGCAGAGAAACCTTCCCCCAATGCATAGAACCAGCTGGAGGCTTCCAGGCAGGGCCGGGCATGGAATCTGCCAGCAGTCTGGACAGTTCAGAGTCTGTCTAGCAAGCAGAGGCCCTGGCAGGAACCCTACTCTGTAACCCTGAGGGATGTCATGACAGGTCTCCTGACTTCAAATTCCCTTCCAAGTGGCTGCTTAGAAGCGGGCATAGATTTGGCTCTTCTCCTTGAAGATTTCAAAGAGAGAGAAAAATAAATTAAAAAGAAAAAAAGTGTTCCCAAGGCAGCAGGCATTCCCTCCAGGGGACAGATCTAGCCACAGCACAGCAAAGAGTGACAGAAAAAATGAACAGGAATGGGGAAGGGAAAGGGGGTTTGAAAGTAGGAACAGGCTTTGATCTCAGAGCCGCAGCGCTGAGGGTAACCTCGCTGATGCCTTAGTAAAGCCTCCTCACTGCACCTGCTGGGGAAAGAGGCCCAGAGCAGAGGTCACAGTACTGCATTC